GTCTTTTTCCTCTTGCGGATTGTTATCGTATGCATACGGGCTGCGATTGATGTTAGCATCCAACAATTCTCCGCTCGCTACATAGATGTTGCCTGGTTGCAGAGATTCATGAGCTCTGACAATCGACTCAAAGATGCCTGAAGCTATAGTTTCTGTGTTATCTTTAACGTAACCACTCGACAGAATTTGAAGGGACTAGGTGTATGGAAGATGAATCAATAATTGCAGAAAAGAATAGTCCATAAGCTCGAAATTGTCAATTGTAACAAGGCTTACCGTATACTGTAAAAAACCAGCTGGACCAGCATGTGTATGTGTTCCTGCTATGGCAACTGTATATCAAAAGCAATGCAATGAAATCTTGTTATTCGTGTGACAACGTCTCGCTGAAATCCAAATTTCACGATAAATACCATTCTGATCGTTGTACAAATCACCAAATTGCTCTTTTAATTTTGTCAGGGTCAGTCGACGAACCGGCGTGCTAGCCATGCAGATATCAACTGATGCGAATACATTGCGTTTGCCGGTATTTTGATCAACCACGATATACGCTCTCGAGCGAAGACCTATAAAGTATGAAAGACACGTTTTGATCAGCATTTTGTGTTATACCAGCAAATCGTCGAATATGTATACTTACGTAAATGAATTCCCTTCACTTTCTGTGAGAGCATGGTATATCCCATCATATTTACATCAGCTTTGTGCATGAACGTACGAAAGTCGAGTTAAAATTAAAAAGCATGTGAAACTAGCTGTTTACCAATGACTCGATTTCCACTCACCGGCTGGTCCAGTTACATCCGAAATTCCAACCCCAACCTAATTTCCATGAGAGAAATTCAAAGTCAAAATCATTGTAAAAAACAAATCTTGTCACGATGCAAACCACAAGTCATATAATACATACCAAGTAATTACCCGAACCACGTATGGATGCAGCGTCGACTCTCCATACCGATATTGCGAGCGCTAATAAGATTGATACAATAGATAACTTCCATTGAAATGTTTTAAAAACCCGCATTCTTTAATATTTGGAACAGGAAAATTCTCTGCATCCGATATGTATGTAGTGTATATATATATACAAAAAAATCCGGATCAACATGCAGATCACTACTACACATGGCCCATAACTAATTAGTTTATTGTATACAAATATCAGTTTAATAAATTATGGAAGACAAAGCCGACGGGTTTGTTACTGAAGGTTGCCTTCTAAGAAAAACAATCACTAGAATAGGTGCTTACAGATTTGAAAGAATAATTGAGAAATGAGGTGTATACACTCGGACATTAGAAGCGGAAGACCCGAAATCCGAGGTCAGACAACTGCATGGTGTTACGAATTTCGGTTATGACACTTACATGTTGGGAATCTTATTGTTCTTCAACGTCGGGTAGGATGTGCATCTTACTTATGTCTCACATCCGGTAACTGTTGACGTATACTTGAGACATAACAGGTAATGCGAGTATTATGGTAAGTTGTGTAACCATTCTTCAACGTCGGGTAGGATGTGCCTCTTACTTACTTATGTCTCACATCCGGTAACTGTTGGCGTATACTTGAGACATAACTTGTTTTCGAGTATTATGGTAAGTTGTGTAACCATGCTTAAACCATCGGGAGATGGTTTTACTGTATTAATATAGTCTTGAAAACAGATGATTATTAAAGTTTAAAGAAATGGTTAGTGATTTTATTATAGAGTCGCACGAATCTGGCGAAAACAAGCATTTATATTGCTGTGTTTTCTGGTACAGAGATAACTTGCGGAATTACCTGCGGTGATGGTTGAAAAAATATTGTTATTTGGCCAAATGACGAGTTTGCGATTGTGTCGTCATTGCAGTACCTGGTTTGCAGAGTTAACTTAAAGCGTTAGCCAGCGGAGATGAAAAAAAAAAGTTTTTATTTGTCCAAGTGACGACGAGTTTGTGATTGGTCGGGCCATCGAACCGAGGATGACGGCGATTTCGCGATTGCATCGTCATTCGAGGCATTCTCAACCGAGGAAAAAAACCGAAGCTAGTCAGCGGCGATAATTTTGCATTTGCATTTGCATCGCTATTATTATTTCTACCCAGCTTTGTGATGCTTCATGCCGGCTTTGCCATGAAGACACCATTTTTATTTGACACTTGCTCCGCGAGGACGTTTTAGTGCCAGAGATCAATTTATTTTCTTTTTGTTATTACGACGTAAAGCGTTATAACTCGAAGAGTCGCGGACCTAATATGTCTGGTTTTCCGGTTTATGTTATGAAAGGGGACAGATAGTGTAATAATAAAAAAGACAAATATAAAAATTCTTAATGTGAACGGGACAGTAACCCGCACATTCTTTTTAACAATTTAACCGCTTTTTGGACAAAAAATTTTGGGACAGTAACCACACACGTTTTCTAACGTTTTGGCTGGATTTAACATGTCAATAAAAATCACGTTACGGGACATGTCCAATAATTACTTTGAATTAAAAAACAGTTCATAGTTATAATTATCCATAAAACAACACCAAAAATGCTATTCCAACTCCATCTTTTCCGAATAACATGAGAAGTTTTCTAGCTCTTAGAGTTTTTTGCGCAAGTTATTCTGTGTGATGTTAGGAAGAAACGGTTTCATTTCTTTGTAAATCACTGTTCTAGCCGTTTCATCTTTGGTTTTACCATCAGCTGTAATATCACGAACCTTATTTTCGAATTCAAGAGAATAATAATACCAGTTTAAGAT